GTGACAATCTGGGTGCTACTTATCTGTCTGCTAACCCGGTTTTTCATGCCAGGACAAAACACATTGAGATAGATTTTCATTTTGTCAGAGAAAGAGTTGCAAAGAGACAATTGGATATTCGCTTTGTGCATTCACGAGATCAAGTTGCAGATGGCTTCACAAAAGCATTGCCTACGAAAAGTTTTGAAGAGTTCAAGAGTAATCTCAACTTGACCAAGTTGTGATTAAGGGAGGGTGTTAAACAACGTTGCTATATGTCAAGGTGGTTCGGTGCAACCGGTGCAACTATGTATTCAGGTTGAACCGCATAGGCTAGATAGATATTCTCTGTAACAATATTCTCTCTAGTTTATCCCTTGTACTCCAAGTAGCTTATCCCTTGTATCTCAAGTTTCAATCTCAACAACTTGTACACTATCAGGGAGTCGCGCCCCTGCCTTTATAACATGCAGCCGTCGCCCTGAACCGGATACGACGTTTCCACAGTAGCAAACTTGATCCATCTGATGTGTTGTTGCCTGGATCAATACAAGGCCAATGATATATAGGTGACAAAGTATGTAGGCAATATTCACACAGACTTATACCTGGATCCAGTGAGTAACTATCGTCAACATTTGTCCCATCCATATGGCCTGCAACACATGATGTATAGACCATGTCACTGTGAGAAGGGCCTGATGCTTGCCATGTGTACGAAATTCTGAAAGCGAGAAATATACCTGTAGGTACGTCTTCATCTGGTTGATGTTCACTTGCCTTGCTTTTTGAATTCCCCATATGTACCTATCAGACGGCAGCTCCCTGAGACGGAAAGATCATTGTTTGATGTATGTAGCAAAAAAACGCCCAGACGAAAATATCTATTGTCATTGTTTTAACTGTTTTTCTTGCTTTTCAGAAGCCTCGCACCAGGACCAAGTTTTTTCTTGATTTTCATAAGTGAAGGAGACCAGGACCACAACAAACATACTGAATTTAAAAGGAATGACAACTCCAGAAGACTATATGACAGTAATGTGCTTGTACAGATTACAAAATAGCGTTTATGCTCACATGACACATCATGCGTACAAAACAGCGTTTCTGCTTACATAACACACCATGTGAAGTTGGAAGAATGGTTGTAGTTCATTATGGAGAAACTGAAAAAAAAGATGATGGTATATCTTTACTACATTATAAATGGCATTTCGTGCTAGCGGCATGTCACTACCACAAAATTATTTCTCTTAAACACCACTACTTTTATGTACAATGCTTTTACAACCGATTCAATTTATTTTGTACATAGAGCTGTTGGTCCTTTATGATTATTTTATTTCTTCAGTACAAATGCTTTTAGCTCTTGATATTTCATTATGGCTGTAGACTTATCCATTGACACACCACTTTTAGAAACTTTTTTCGTTGGAATAAGAAGAACAACAATGATTTAACTGTAAAAAAATGCTGAAAAATGCAACCTGATGTGCATGAGTACCTTAGAGATATATGCTAGACAACAACAATGATTTAACTTGTTGTTTCTGCTCTAAATCTTCTGTATAGACTGTTTACAGGAGAGAGGTACTCCCTGCTGAATGTATGACTCTTGTGAGTTTGACTATTAAGTAGTCAAAGAAGCAAGGATGCCAGGATGGAATGTCAAGGTGCGCACCCTTATTTCTGGTAAAATAGTAAGTGGACTAACTGAGATGAAACAGAACAATGTATCTCTTTTATTTGTTAGAAATGCTGCAATTTCTATATCTTTTGTTAGAAATGTTACAACTTGTATATCTTTTGACCTGGCCATGACAATTGTTCAAAAGGAAGTAATTACACAAATATTTGGATTTTAGATTTTTTCTGTATGCTTGCATATATGATTTTTTTTCACAATCAAACACCAAATGCTATAACAGAATTACTGATTTTTTCACAATCAAACACCAAATGCTATAACAGAATTACTGTGTGCAATTCTCTCATATTAAAGTATTGTAGTTGTATTTAGTACTTTCTTGAGGTGTGAAATTCATTTTTTATTTTTCTTGCGCAGTTTAAAAGAAATAATGGCAGAGATATTAAAATTCAAACCTGGCTTATTTTGCTTAATATGGGTTCAGAAGGCAATTGTCCCTGAGCTAATGTCTAAACGTATGTTAGCTTAACAGGTTGTCTTGCCGCCGCAACTTTTGATTTTGATTAATGCAAAGCAACTTTGGATCTTCTCATCGATACATCTTGGGTTGTCGTTCTTCCTGAACGAAGGATTTTTTCCTAGATTGTGCTATGAAACAATGCTTGTATAATGCCTTGATCTCTTTTCTATACAATGCCTTATGTGTCACCCCCCTCCAATTAAACTCCAAGGTAGTTTTGTAGTAGAAAGTAAAGATCATTTGGGTATTAAAATTCAAACCTGGCTTACAATTTAGTAGATTCCATGCATGGATGAATGGAGGGGGGCGACACATAAGGTATGACACGAGGCGTTAATGGATCTGGATCTCCTGGTTATATACTCTTAGAAGTTAGAAATCAGTTTTCTCTTAGTGATGGTTAGCATGCTTGCCTACTTCTGGTCATGTGTTCCTTGCTCAGATGAATGTAACTCAACCTTTTCTCCAGTTATGTGAAAGCCATCTAAATTGCATCTACTCTTTCACTGTAACAGGTTACTGAAGTGCAGTCACGTGCATTGGCTTTCTCATGTGGGTTGGGCCTCATACTTTTCTGTGAAAGCACTGCCAACTGCTGGTATTTTTACAGTAGCCCCCAACTAAATGGAGAAAAGTCCACTCGCATTAGGAGTAAACTGTTCATGCGTGGCTGTATGAGATGCGATGGCTGTATGGGATGAGATGGCTGTATGAAACTGGTATGAGATGCGATGGATGTATGAGATGCGATGGCTGTATCAAATAATACCTATATCTCGTCGGCGTCTCCTCGTCCAGGATCAGCGCCGGATCCTGGACGTGTTCGGCGGCGGATCCTGGACGTGTTCAGCGCCGGATCCTGGACGTGTCCGATGGAGGGCGGCGAGTGAGGCGCCTTTGATGTGCGAGGCCGGTCGTGCGTGCGAGTTGTTCTCGCTCGAGGGCAGGAGACCTCGCTCGTAAGTGCGGGCGATTGGTTTAGTTTTTTTTTCGCTGGTTAATTCTCGTAGGTTTTTTTTCGTTGGTTAATTTTCGTAGATTTTATTTACTTCGTTTGTCTTTGGGTGCGATCAGAGGTTAGGCCCTGGAGTGCGTGGGGCGGGTGGGGGCCTCGGTACGAGGGTTTTTTGGTTCGTGGTGGCTCAGTGTGAGGTGGGAGGAGGTACCAAAAAAAAACCATGGGAGGTGGGATGAAAAAAAATCTAAAAGCGAGACTACCAACTGCTCCATTAGAAGTAGAGATGCACGCATGTTTGCTTATTACAGGTATGTGTTATTTTTTCTAGCTAAGATACATATTACATGGTTCAGCAGACAACTTTTCGAATCTGTAACCCTCCATCTTGTTACCATATTCAGCTAACGAATGTCATTTCCAATTGCTCCTTTTTTAGGGGTATTTCCAATTGCTACTTCAGGTGCTCCTACTGTTAGTATAAATAGTTTCGACGACATATTCTAATCAGATAATAATTCGCTAGTCGTTTGCATGCCTTATTTCAGTGAAGATCATACTAACATGGTGTCGTAAGTACAAACTATATGATAAGGCTGGAACTTTAACAATCGGAAAATCAGCAACGACTAGCAAATTAAGGTTTCCTTTTTTAGTTGCACATAATTCGGCCGCTCAAACGGTATTCGGCCACTCCTTTGATAGTGAACAGAAAAAAATCATTTTTAGTTGGACATTATGTCGTTGAAAATTGCATCTAATATTTTGTGTAGGGGAATGGGTTCTTTCTTGGATTCCAAACAATAGTTTTCTTGTTTATCTTGTGTGAATTAACTAAGGATGATCCATTTTGCACGGTCTACTTCCAAACCAACTATTAATCAGACCATCTCAAGGGAGAACACGAGTCTCCGTCAAATGAAACATGAATGTTGGATATAACATGTTCGCTATTTCATCATGTTGACCCTGGAGCTTATAGAGCAACATTATGTGATATGCAACTATAAAATTGATTCCATTTTACCTCGTAAGTCGGCTTGGTTAACTTTACTAAATTGGTCAGTTCGCTAATTATCTTGTCACTGTGATGCACAAGATGAAGGGTTGTGCATTATTTCTGATAATGTAGGGTAATTTTTTTTATTATATTGCATAAATGCCCGCTAGCCTTTCTTTGGTATATGAACATTTCTATTATAGTGCTCATAATTATTGTCCGTACCTGAAGCTAAAGGATAGATGAAGTGGAGCTAGAAGATCTGATATTGTTGGATTAGATTATTTTAGAGAAAATGACATGATAATTTATGGGGTCATTTGATAGATTTTCAAGGTACGCTATGGCACTAAAAGGAGCCATAGCCATTATGTGCCATCTATGGTGATCTTGCAAGGCATGTTGTGCTCGAAGCACTCCCCTTAAAAGCATTGATCAACCCCGCACAAAAAGAGAGAGAGAGAGAGAGAGAGAGAGAGAGAGAGAGAGAGAGAGAGAGAGAGAGAGAGAGAGAGAGAGAAGCATTGATCAACAATGACAAAATTATTGGTATGTTTTTCGTCACAAGTTTTTGCTTTCATAATTAATTATGTTATTATTTTCTAAACAATCTTATACTCCCTCCGTCCGGAAATACTTGTCGGAGGAATGAACGTATATAGACGTATTTCAGGGTTAGATACATCAATTTTTAGTCATTTTTACGACAAGTATTTCCAGACGGAGGGAGTATTTTCTTACAGAGGGAGTACAATTATACTCATCAATTACTACAGGACAGGACAATGAGCAAGTTTATGTAAGCTTAACTTTCCTGTCTATATATTTACATGAAATATGATTGTTCCATTGTAAAATCGACAGGCGCGGCAACGCGACTATCTAAAAAGTTGTGTGATTATAAGACCTGTAGCGCTACATGTTGGGATATCCGGGGGGCAATATGCCTTGTAATGGCCTTCCGGGCACGCTGCCTTGTAACGTCCGGGGGCATCATTTGAGGCATCTGGCTGTCAACGTCGTACCATGCGGGATCAAGTGACAGGCGCTCAAGAGGGCGCGCGTTTTCCAGGATGTAGAGCAGGAGCTCTAGGGAAGCGAGGTGAGCATCGAACCCAGTGATGGTGACGGTCTTGAGGCTCAGGTGTAGGCGCTTCTCAACGTCGCCTGGGGGCATCCGGGATGCATCGAAAGCTGGGGCTGAGCTCATGAGCTGCATGATGATGCATCCAACCATGCATGCATGTTAATATTTTTTTTATAAAAGAATGATTGCTGGATCTCAAATCAAATCCAAAAGCGAGAACAAAAACGTACATGCAACGAGAGCGATTCCAATGCAGGCGCTGCGTCGAGAAACCGGTGAAGGAAAATGAAGTCGTTCCTTTGGCGGCTCTTGCCATCCAAGATCATCCAAAGGTCCAGGCGCTTCAAATGACGGTATTTCCATGTGCTTGCTGGTGAAGTAACTACCTGCATGCATGACCGATATCAGATATCAGACTCGATGTAATTTATATTACTCCCTCCGTCCACTTTTGTAAAACGTTTTAAACATTTAGGACAACACCTAAAACAATTCAATTTTCAGTTGTCTTAAATGACTTACAAAAGTGAACAGAGGGAGTACGTTTATTTATATCTGATCTTTTCGTAAAAGAGCAAAAAAAAAAAGGGCAAGGAATAGGTAGGGGGGAACGAAGACGAACCTTGACTAGCATCGTGACTCTCAAGGATAAACTCTCTAGGCCTGGCATGAGGCGCGCCAAGCTTGTGGTTTCAAAGACGCCAGCAGCTGCAGGTGCAACGGGATTAGCCAAGATATGAAAGCTCGCCCTTGTCACATTCGGAGCCGGCGCCACCGTGGATCCAAGAATGCTGGGCCCACGGTTTATCGTGTCAAAAGTCAGCGATGCGACACCAGAATCAGATACGTCCACCGTCTTCACGGAGCGGCAGTGCCGCAAGGCAAGAAATTTGAAGCCTCGCTGCCTCGGACGAGGTGGCATCTTGACGTACACCAGATCGTCGCAGTAGTTGAGCTCCAGGCGCTGCAGCTTGTGGCACGAGTAGAGGAAGCGCTCCAAGTCTTGGCTGGTGATGCGCACGGTGTCAAGAACCAGGCTGGTCAGCTCCACGTAGTAGTACTTATTGTCTTGCCACGGCCACCGCCAGCATCCGGATCTCAGGTGCAGCTGCTCCAGGGCCATGGCGGCTGGGGTAAGGAGGAGGAGCGAGGAGGGAAAATCATAGCACAGACTGTCTGGGCCGCATGGCTCCATGAGGTGAGCTAGGAAGTCGAGCTCTAGGCGCCTGGTGCTGGTCGATTCGATGGCAAAGTGTACCCAGCGGTCCACCAAGGCGGCATCGCGTCGCTGCTGCAGATAGGCGAACTTGACGCTGAGCGTCTCCAATGCTGTGTCGCTGCGGTGCCGCAGCGTGGTGTCCACAAAGCGGACGAAGTCCCGGACGAGCTCGTCCTTTTTCTTTTCAAGGACACGGCTTTCCGGTGCGGGTCAAGATCATCATCATCTAAGAGCTCTTCTTCTTCTTCTGGGAGCAGTCGGAGCCCAAGCGTGTCCTCGTCAAACACCAGATGGGCATGCATCCTCCAAACGCGCAGCAGGGTGGAGCAGGACGCGCACGCACGACCCGCGTCTCTCATGGGCAAGCGTGAGAATATCCCACACACAAGCTCCTGTAGTACGCACGTCCTTCAGATTTGGCTTCCATCTGCTTACTCCCTCCGTCCCAACATAAATGTCTCAATCTTAATACTACTACAACTTTGTACTACTAAATTTAGTACAAAGTGTCATACACTTATTTTGGGACGGAAAGAATATTACGCAAGCAAAACTATTAATTTAATTAAAGCACTACGTACCTCCGGGAGATCCTAGAGCCTCGTCTCGACGACCATTGTAGTATCCTAGTGTCGCGGCTCGCCGATTCAATCTTTTTTCTTCTTCTTTTGGCGGCAACTCGCCGATTCAGCTTAAGAAGACGTATTATGTACTACTTATGAAATATAAATTGCTTCCATGGCCTTCTCTTCACTCTTCCTTATTAAAAGACAAGACGATACGTTGGCCCAAACTGATCCCAACCCTACTCGGTAACAAGTCCAAGACGCTTCCTTCAAAAAGAAAAAGTCCAAAACGCACACGGATAATAATTAAGGAACGCTCAAAACAAATCAACTCACTCGGCAGGTACGTGTTCTGTCCTGTTGGAAAGTGAATCGCGTAAGGCTACTTTTTTTTTTGAACCACGATATCTGCCGGACCTTCGGTCTGCGAAACTACCAAGCCCCAACCAAATGAAAGGTATGTTTTTTTTAGTCTAAGCATACTTCGCCTTATATTATAAATCTTTCCCTAATTTATATCTATACCTCTATATCTATATCCATATCTATATCTATATCTATACCTCTATACCTATACCTACCTACTAATAAAGCAGATATTGCTTCTGCCCGTACGTCACAAAAATCGCCCCTCGAAATTGCTAGAAATTACCCGCTATGCCACCCGTAAGTGAAGAAAACGATTCGAATTTTCTTTTCAAAGTCGCCGTTGTTCCCAGTGTTTTTATATAGGTAATATCCATCAAATAGCAGTGATACAGCAGCAGCGCGGTGGCTCGATGCTATGTCTTCCACCCTGTACCCCAGGGGGTTCGAACCCCAGCTTCTACCAATATTTTCCTCCACCTTTTACTCACGACTTCTTCCCACCTACATGGGCCAGCCAGCGGACTTAATGCCCTGTTTTTTTTTCTTTTTTCTGGTCTTCTCTTTTCTCACTTCTGTTTTTGTTTTCTCCTTTAAATCAATTTGAGATTTTCAAGTATTAAAAAGTTGCGAGTTTGAAAAAGCTGTTTGAGAAATTATAAAATGTGTGTGAATTCAAAAAAGTTCAGGAAAACATAAAATTTTCATGGTTTCAAAAAATGTTAGTGATTTTACAAAAAAATTCGCAAATTATACAAATAATTTGGAAAGAAATGTCATTAAATAAAATCAAGTTCATGATCTTGATAAAATGATCGTGTATTTAAAACATATTTGTGAATCTGAGTCATCATGAAATCAAAAACTATTCATGCATTTCAATAAATGTTCATCTAAAAAAAATGTTCGTGAATTAAAAAAAATGTCTAAATTTAAGAAGAATGTTTGTCGATTCAAAAAACTCTTCCTATTCAGAAGTATTTTATATCTAGGATTTGATTAGTTTTTGGAAATTCTTTATATGTCTTGGCGTTGGCGAGTAGTCCATGGTCGATGAGATTTGTTTTCAAAGTTCAAAACATTCGCTTGCGCGAGACAATGACAAGTGTGTCGTACAGTGACAAGCCCATTGTTTACCACGTTGAATGCATTGCGATCACGTGGATATTGCATTCATCATCAACGAGAGTGAGAAGAAAGATAATTGGCAACATGGTGAGCCATCGTGTTAAAATAGAGGACACTCATATGTCGGATATTGACCAACGTGTAATTTTTTCTCCCGTTAATAATAAAGCACAGATTGACTTCGTCGGGTTCACCGTCGCGTCCTTTTTACACAAAGGTCCATGTGCTTTTTAGAAATTAAACCCGCCGTCCTACTTTAGTGAATCCAAAAACGTTTCGTTTTATTATATAGGCTAAAAAAGGAAAACGCCACACTTGATTTCCTTGCGTTCGGTCTGTGTCACCAGCTCACATGATCTCTTCATTGGGCCTTCACCTGGCCCACAGGTGCGTTAAATTAGGCCTTGCTCCAGTCCAATACGACTCGAAGTCCTAACTCCTTCTGTTTTCTTTACCTTTTTAAGTCCTCCACGAGAGTCGGATCCAAAAGAGAGGGGAGGGGCCTGATGCTTCGCGGATCGTTGTCTTCGGGCCCGCGGTTGGAGGCCAGTACTCGGCGGCATCATCGATGGCACACATCTCGATCGTCGTCGCGCACGACGCGCTCTGCCCGAAGCTCTGTCCTTCCCTAAGGCGAGCGCGTGGTCGGACCTGCTTGTGCTCACAGTGTGCATAAGGACAGGAGAGATCCTGGCGTTGGTGGCCGAAGCTGTTGAAGAATGACGAAGGAGGCGGTAGGCGCACTAGAGGTGGAGGCAGACGATGACGGGAACGTGACGGGGCTACTTCGCCGACCGAAGTTGGAATCACCAGGGCGCAACGGAGGCAGAGACGAGCGGGAGGCAGAGCACGCTCCGAACTTGAGACGGAGGCTATGCGCGCTAGACGACGACCTTCGACGCGCTCCAGCCCGGGGCAGGTACCGCGTCAGAATCATCCAAGGCAGACGCGACTCCTTGAGCGGGTGCCCCTCCTGGCATGGCCCTCCATGGCGCACGGACGGAGGCCTCCGGCCAACAACAATATCAGGATCGACCGTTGGCGCCAGGGGCGCTCAGCGCTAACCAACTTTCCACAACGAGTGGCAAAGGAGACGACGAAGCGCGCGAGCATGCCAGTACAACGTCGTCCCTAAGCAGCGCAACAACAGACACTCAACCCAGGAACTGCACGATGCATACAAATCAAGACAATAGTTTAAGCTTGTTGGGTTAGTGTACATGCATGATTTGCCTATTATTTTATTTGTACCATCACACCTCCTGTAAATCCTTATTGTTGTTGTATGTATGTCAGCTGCACCTTCATCATCTCCGTACTGGTGATAGAGCAGGGTTTTTTTATTGGCGATGTTGCTGGTGTTGGTAAAGGCCGATTAATCTGAGAAAATTGGCAATATAACCGTATTAAGGCAATGTAAGACTTTTGGCAAAATTCCCATCAAGTTTCTGCTCTGCTGAAGTTTTAAGAATTCTGCCATCATGTCTTCCTCTTCACTACTTACCTTTAGCTGATTTGCAATTGCAATTTCCAGGTGGGTATCGGTTGACTCTGACCGAAAGTATCATGCTCGAAGAGATTTAGATGGTGTTGGTGCAAAAGCATACAAGGTATGAAATCTATTAAAATTGAATGATATTTTAACCTCAAGCCAATGCCATATGTATTACACCAACTGTATGAGACCCTGCGGCTCCACATGACAGCGTCTTTAACTGTATGCATGTGGATTTTACAACACAACATTTATCTAGAAAGAGTGCTAACACTCAAACATATAAATGATTTTAATTACTGCCAATGTCGATATGGTCACATTATTTATTGCAATGAAATTGGATCTGCTATTGTAGATTCGACTTGAGTCTCGACATATGTAGTCATGTAATTGATTTGCCTCTCCGTAGGCTTTTTAGGTTTTTGAGTTTCTCCTCCGTTGCCACAAAATACATAATTTTTCAGCAAATCAATGTATAGCAACCGTGTATGCTTCAATCCCATTTTCTCTTTGAATTTTTAGAGTATGTTACTTATGTTTTTATCGTTTGGGTAAATCACAACACCAACATTAACCTTTTTTTTACGACGGGGAGGAGGGCAAGCGGCAACACAGGTGAGGTAACATGTTGAATGGAGGACATGTGCCTATGTGTGTGCGCCCGGGGCGGGTAGATGGAGTGTTCGAGTCGTGTGATGTTTTCTTTTTGGGAGAGAGTCTCGCGTCATACTTACACGGTTAGGAGCGTGTGATGTTTTTTCTTGTTGCAACACACATGCATGTTTCATATAGTTATTATGTTCTCGTCAATGGCTTGATTTGAAGATCACATTTTCGTTACCCGTTGCAACGCACGGGCCCTTTTGCTAGTAATAATCAAGTTCCCTGGGATACAATGTAAGTCTGACGGGTTTACTCACCACACATGGCATTTCACATCCAGACCAAAATCATATTTAACGAGGCTATATGCCTCGATATTAGACTCTCTCCCTTCAAAGATGAAGGAACACTGCTGAAAATTTTCTGAAGTTTCCACAATTTCCCTAATGATAGTCTCATAAGCACCTATGGTTCTTGATGTCATGGACTACGCCTTGGCAACCCGAAGCTACCACCACATGCGTCAGCGCAAGATATGTAGCAAGTGCCTCCAAAGTTGCTGGATATGTAAGGGCATGTACAATGCATAGCCTCAGGGTGATGCCTCGCATGCCATGTAAGATCGGATATCAGATAAAGTAGGTTCAGATAGAAAAGCGGGATACTCTGCAGGAGGCGGGTGTTTGGAGAGAAAACATGTGGTTTAGTGTCAAAAGCTGAAAAGGTTGGAGTAAAAAGTAGAGATGCATGTGCATTAGAGTCTTTATTTTTTATTTTTTAACACTTCTTAATAGGGCCCATTAATGATAGCTTAT